GAGGTTGGGGCTGATGACCCCTTGCTTATCTTTGCATTAGCATCTGAAGAACTACACAGCAGCCCTGTGTTGTTTATTTAATTGCATTCATCCTACCATTAACAGCATCTAGGCTAAGTGCTTAATATATCCTGTTTTACTGAGTAGTTGCCTTAGGGACAGTTGTTAAGAGTCCTCACCTTCACATAAAGAGAAAACTAAAGCTCGGGTAAGGTTAGTTTGCCTGAGGTTACATATTTAATAAATGGCACGATTGAGATTTGAATTTGGGTTCATGTGACTCTCAGTTCCACTCTCTTATATTGTAATATAAAATGACCTTAAAAGGACAACCAAAGAGGATAATGATACATGAGAGGCCTCAAACTGTCCCAAGTAAAGGCTTCTTAGACTGAGGAGATTCAGGGCTGCTTGACAGGTGCATGTGAACAGACTCCTCAAGGCCTAGCCCAAAGCCAACCACACTGTTTTTGCAAAATGCTACTTAACTTGCCCCCCACACCTAATTGCTCCCTCCTACCTATTCCTGCCCTCCCAAGCTCTCAGTAGGGTTCTCACTGGGGCTGCTTCATTCCACGCTGCTTTAGTCCCTCTGTCCTTGTCAACTTTTATCTCCACAGTCTTTTTCTTGTGAACAGCCATGCAACCAAACCACAGCAGGCAACACGGTGACATTTCTGAGGAATCTCCTGGAACCTTTCCAGAGAGAAACGATGAAAGGGATGAGAGCTAGAGCATGAAGATGACGTATTATTTATTGTATTTATTGAGTGTTAAAAGACCTTCCCTGTGAATTGTGGCAATTAAAAAACCAAGCTACCTTAAATCAAAATCAGTTGTGATCATTTGTTTAAGATTTTATATCTTTATTTTGGAATAAATATATATGGGGAGAAAATAATACAAGCTGGTCTCTGAGCCCTTATTCATGGCATACCCCTTCCTTGGTGCTCAGAACAAAGAAAGGTACAGAATTGTCAAGGGTAGAATGGTCAGAGACTCCATAATAGAATGACTCATGGTCCTGAGCACAGACTTAGAGCTCTTAAAGTGTGGTTGGCTCTGCAGGGCTGCAGTTATAAAGTGCTTATCAAGGACAGTCTGAAGGTCATTGGTAGGGGATGCTGAGGGCATGCTGAGAGGGACATGAGGGTCTAGGGGCTTCATTTCTGAGAAAGCAACCATGCACCTGAAATAGGAGAAGACGGCCATTTAGTAAATCCAGAAGTTCAGAGACTATTCAAGAGTATGAGCATGGTCATGTACAGCACAGCAGAGCTTGAAGCTGAAATGGCAAAGTGTCAGGGGGCAGACCTTTGGGGGAAGAGCAAGAAGCAGAGAAATCCTGGGATCAATGCTGACTATTCACCTGGAAGGTCTTCCGTGAACACGTACCACACACCAGCCCAAAGCCTGGCTCGGGAACAGGGTCTAACGGGGGAGTTCCAAGGTATCTTTGAACCAAGTCTGTGGTCGGAATTGCATGGCTGTAGCAATCCATCTCAGTACTCCACCTGCCCCAATCCTGGTCCCCACCATGGCCTCTGTTCCACTCTGCTCACTGTCTTCTAACAGTCCATCTCTGGTCCACCCTGTTTGCTGTTCATTATCTGATTCTTCCTGCTCACCTGCCAGCTCCCTGAGGAAAGAGAATGATTTTGCTTGCTTCTATGACCTAGGTGCCTGTGCTGAGCTGGCACAGGGCAGGTGCCAAGTGAATATAGTCTGAATAGATAAAAAACTTTGGGATATAAGGACACGGTGGTAACTTGTGACTGCATTGGGACTGTGCACACCTGGGGAAGAGACAGGACCCAGGGCACACTGTGGTTCCTTTCCAACACCTGTGGGCAGGTCTAAGCTGGGGCCCGCATCATCCAGCCACCTGGGAGAGGAAGACCGCCAGCCCTCCTGTGTGGCCTCCAGGTCCCATGTGATGGGTGGGTGGAGCCAGAGTTAAGGCTGGATCAGGGTGGTCTGATGATCAGAATGGCTCTGTCTCCCACAACCTGCAGACCTGGAGGCTTGGGAAGAACTCAGAGCCTTTTATTATTTGTTTATTTTTATTTTTCATTTTTGCAGTGCATGGGATCAAATCGAGGGCCTTGTACATCCCAAGCAAGTGCTTTACCAGTGAGCTACACCGCAAGCCCCAGAACATAGAGGCTTTGAAAGGAAAAGTTAACTGTGGGGGAGAATTTTCTCCAAGAATATGAGCTGCCTCCCTTCTCTGATGGACTGGCCACACTAGCTCAGCCTCAGCTACTTCTCATGATTCAAAAAGTTCAAAGGCGCCAGAGCCAGAGTCCCTCGAGGGGCTTAGCACTGCTTTTGTCCTCATCAGTTACAACGTCAAGCAGAGTCCAAATGTGACCTGCCCCACAAAGGAGGTATCATCTCAGAAGCTTGGTCCCTGGAGTTGTGTGGTGATGAGGGCGGGCACAGGTTTTGGCCTCTGTCTGTAGTCAAGGCCCTCCCATACAGCACGGTGGAGAGAAAATTTTATCCAAGAGGGTTCAAGTCAGGAGAATGTTTTCTTCTCCACTTGGGTGCACACATTCTGGGTCCATGGTAACATCCAAACATAGTTTTAGCCTTAGTTAGGATGGAAAAATTTATTATTCCTGGAGACATATAACAAGGGGAAACATGCTATATTTCATACTAAAAGGACTTCCAAAAGGAATTTGCTCCTGTCAAGCTTTGTCTCCTTCAGTGCTGAAGGCTACCATGCATTTTTTTTTCCAGTACCGGTGATTGAACTCGGGACCTTGCACCTGTGATGCAGTCGCAGTGCCACTGAGCTACATCCCCAGCCCACCATGCATTTTTGATGGGGACACAGACTTAAAATGCATTGACAGTAGCCTCATCCGATGATATATCTGCTTTCCCAGAGGCATAGGAAACATTGCCTGGTAGGGGGATGGGGTGGGAGTGGGTGTGAGTTCTATGCAAAACGTTTGCTGGGAATCTCCTATAACAGTGTGTTATGGCTTGAGTCTAGATGTCCCCCTCCAAAGCTGCATGCAGTCATGGGTGGAGCTTTTCCAGTGGTGACTGAATGTAGACTGTGTGATTCATTCACACAGTGCAACACTAGGATTAAGGGTGGGTGATTACTAAATCAGTCTACCGATTGGTTTGTCACAGTCCTAATCCTGGTAGCCTGGATACCATATAAGGAACAGGAAGAAGCTTATCTTGTCCCTTGCTTTCTTGATGCTCTGCTACCTTCTGCCTGCTATGAACTGCTTCTCTTCGATGCCCCTCTGCCATGCCTTGCCTTGGAGCCAGCCAATTGTGGGCTGAAACCTCTAGTGGAGACCAGTAGAGCAAGCTATAAATTTATGGATTGGCTTTTCATATTAAAAGTCTGGGTCTGTCTGTTAGCCCACAGTGGGTGGCCTGAAGAGCCGGCAGTTGGTGTGTAGGAATGAACGGAATGACTCCCCACACCACTGGTCACAGCAGAGGTCTCAGTGATCTGTGATGCTGTGACATTTTGGATGGTGAGACAATAGTACAGCTAAGGCAGCATGACTCATACACAAAACTTCTATAGAAGCAAAAAATCATCTATGGGAGGGCAGGGGATTTAGCTCAGTGATTTCAGCACCTGTCTCATAGGCACAAGGACCCGAGTTCGATCCCTGGTACCAAATCATCATCATCATCATCATCATCATCATCATCATCATCATCATCTATGGGAGAAAACAAATTTCCCATTAATCAATGATCTGTTCCTACTAGAATGTTTTGCTCCTTTGTTGCTAGCACTCTGTCTCCTTAGTGCTTTCTACTCCACTGTTCCCTCCACTGCTCCTTACCTCTTCAAGAAGCTGTGTGTTCAACAAATAGCAGCAAGCTATAGGATCAGAGCTTTGGTCATCCTGGGCCCCCTTTAAGCAGTGAAGATCCTGTCTTGTCTTTTGCTATCCTGCTGCCGTACCCTCGGTCAGGTGGTTGGAGGTCTGACCAGCCTCCAATATGCTACAGAATGTGAGCTACATACACCTTCCCGCCTTTAACTTTGGGTATTGGGTATTTTGTCTCAGCAACAAGAGAGAAGTAACTAAGATACAGTGGATAGGAGAATGAGTACTCCAACTCTTATTAGTAATATATCCCAGCATCTCCTCTGTATCGTATTCCGGGAGACTTAAAGTTTAGACCGCTCAGGGTTCTTGGTTCTTTCCTTCCTCGTGAGTAGGGCTGCCAGTGCTGGGGTCCTGCCTCCACACAGCACACCGCACAGGGTGTCCATGCATGCCTGTCTTGCCTGACTCCCTTGTGGCCTGCAGATTCCCAAGGACAAGTACCTTTCCTTCCCAGTACTTACAATACTATGTATGACATGCAGCAGGTGTGAGCAAAAGATCTAGCAAGGGACACATTCAATAGAATTAAGCACTTAATATTTAAGCACTTATTCTGGTTGTGCTAGGCATGCAGTATTTCATTTAGTTCCCTAACAATGATAGGAAGGAGATAGTATTTGTGCTTTATAGATGTAGAAACCAAAGCTTTCTAGGTTAGATGACTTTCTCAAGATCCCACAGCTGGTAATACTTTAAGGAGGGAATCACTCCCTGCTGGTTCTGTTTCCAAAACCTGTGCTCTTTTTATTTGCTATTTTCTTATTCTGTTTATATCAAATTTGTATGTTGTACTTCCTCTGACCACTGCCTGAGGGTAAAATAGATTCACCACAGTACCAGTGCATGTGCTGCTCTCATCCAGGAACCCAGGAAACGGGGGTGGGGGGTGGGTCAGATGAGGTTCAGAATTCAAATGCATTAGCCTCTTTGAAAGCGAATACAAATTCATGCACCACATACTACATAACACCCATAGCAGGGCCTGGGGCAAGATTCCATAATGAAACACATCAATATTCTGCAGCAAACACAGCGCAGGAGCATTCACACAGAGCAATCAAGTTCTGCAGCCAAATAAGTCATGATAACCTCAAGTTTACTAAGCACTTTGGGTTTCAGAACGGCAATAAGGGATTGGTGTGCTGCATGAATAAAACAGGTTATTTTTTCTAAGTCAGAGACCTTTTACTCTTCATCCAGGGCTGGGCTGGTTGTAGCTGGGCAGAGGCTCCTGTAGCTGCAGACCGGTTGGCTACATGGCATCCAAGTGGCAGCTACCCCCACAGCTGGGTGTCCTGAGTGACATGCCACACAATGTGGTTTATCCGGAGACGCCCAACTCAGCACGCTCACCCAAGCAGCACCACTGCAGGACAGGAGCTGGTAGCAGAGATGGTTTTGGAACCCAACCGAAGAATGCAGAGTGGTGTGAACTGCAGCTCTAGTCACCTGCTGGCTTGGATCTTTCCTCCCTTTGCTGAAAAAGCTGTGTAAGTTACAAGATTGACTCCTGCACTCAGCTCCGAGGAGGATGCGCTGCAGAAAGGTGTGCTGCCGTCAGTGTCCTTCCTGCGGTTCAGAGTTGAGATTTATCAAGAAGCCACCTTGGAGAATGTAGAAGAAAAACTAACATTTATTAAGTAGTTAGTGTGCAGCCGGCTGTCTGCCAAGCATGCTTTGTCGATGATCTAGTTCTGTCCTCATAACAACTGCATGATGTATTTAATTATTAAATACAATGATCCCCACTGGATAAGTGACAGAACTGAGGTTACCTAAGTTGCCAGAGGCACATTGCTTTCACTGTAAATCTGCTGCTTTAGGCAGGTGGCCAGGTCCTGGGAGGAGCAGTTCCCAGAGGCTGTGGGTCACGGCCATCCCTTTCAACTATCTATCTTTCCACCTATTCATCCACAAAAATTATAAGCCAACAATTCCTCTTCTATCTTTGGCCCATGTAGTTCTCAGAGTTTCACAGGCAGAAACCAGGTCTAGGGAATGCCACTACAGGAATCTTGTGTCTGTCTCAAAAAAAAAAAAAAAAAAAAAAA